GCTTTTTCAAATTCTCTGGATGTTGAAATAACTTTAATAAGTTATGATACTAGCAATCACTTTCAGAATTATCTTATTAGTAAATGTAGTATTTAAAAAAACATCTAAAAGCAGGAGCCAAGAAACTAAGTTAATACCAAGTGATTGTCCTGCCATGATATGTATGGTGTTTGTTTGCCTAGTTCTGCCTTAAAATCATAAGAATCTGATATGTCAATCAATTAAATAATTATTTATAATTGATTAGATTATTATTAATTTTATTACCCTTCCACGTTTACTAAAAAAAGCAAGATTCTTAAAAAATACCTTGCTATCATTTCCAGTGAATTAATAAAAATTACAGTTGTAATATTACTCCTAACATGTACCAATATATGTGAATAATTTATGTGGTAACAAAACTTCAAATAATGTTCTCATAATTAAGATTTACACTTTATTTCACTCCGTCCAATACTGCAGAAAGTCACTATTCTTCTCACCTAGTTTTTGTATTCGATCAACATGGAGGATGGTAATTCAATTCAAAGTCCCATGCAACTCTTATTAAAAATCTGAAATATTTAAAGCATGGTTTTATAGGCACTCATATGAACTAATTTTGATATTTGGATATTGCGAAATATTCTGCTCACACTGACAATATTTCCGTTTGAATAAAAAATATTACTCCTCGAATATTTTGCTCTGTTAACAAGATACTGTAGGCCTTCAGATTGTGCTTATGAAACTTAAAACATCCTAAAATGTGTGACACATTGAAGTGTGTATAAGAGCGAAGGGGACAATATCCGCCACATTGTTCTTTCATGTAACAAGTTTTGCTATTTCGGTCAACCCTAACCGAAATGGAGATTTGTTTACATTGTGTCACGGCTTTCTCGCCTATCTCATTTGAGCTTTATGGCGTACCAACTCAATGCCTAGTAGTGACTAAAAACGTTAAGCAAAAACAATTTTGTAGTTACAAGAATTGTCCGTGTTTATAACACTTGCAAAGTCTTAAACTGCTATTTGTTGTCATCAATTGGTAATGATTTTGCACATGTGCAAAAGTGTGGAAATTCGTGCAAATTCTCATCAGCAGGCAGACGTAGGTTTCCTGAACGATGGTGCAGACATTTAACTGATCGTTAGGCCTGTCGCGTTTCTTGATCCGCCTCCATTTCTGTTGTCTTGACCGTAATGGTTTTGTTAAAGGTACACATCAAATCGCAGCAATATGTAATAAATATAGCGTGTGTAAATGGCATAATTCGAAGCACATCGCTTTGGAGGCATCGTTTGACCCCAGAAATAAGTCTGACAAATCCACAAAGCGCGCCCGGCCTGTTGATTGGCCAAAATTGACGCATGCGTCAGTTTTGATTGACAGACTGGATCGGTCTATTCAGCAAAATTCTCCAGGAACACACTGCAAATAAATGTAATGAGACCCCATGATGCAGACAGATGTAACAATGTATAACAAGCAATTCACCTTTAATGCACAAGGTAACTCAAAGTATTGCATTCTCAACCAAATTTAAACTTTACACTTGTTGAACAGAAGCCCACATTGGATGCAGTATGCGCATTATCCTGAAAACAGTTGTTCAAACACACAAATATTTTCAAGACTGACTTTGACCTTGACATGAATGTCATAGTGTATGAAATATGCAAAAATGGTACTAAAGAAATTGCTTAAGAAACATTCAAGGGAAGTCTTGAAAGTCTATGAAGAAAATCCAGTGAATTCAGGTTAACATGCAGAAATCTTCAAAGTGTCTTTGTGACCTTGAAAATTAAGTGAAGGTCACCAAAATTGACTGGTCCTTGCACTTTCCCTAGAAGAAGCTTGGTGTCAAATATGAAGAAAGTCCAGTGAATGTTTTTTGAGATATCTTGCTGACCATCTCGCATGCAGGTTAACATACTGAATCTTCAAAGTGTCACTGTGACCTAGAAAATTAAGTGAAGGTCATCAAAATCGACAGTAAAACGTTAAAGTCCCCTTGTGACCTTGAAATGAAAGTCAAGGTCACCAAACCTGACAGGGACCTTTCTTATATTGTGATGAACCTAGGTACCAAATATGAAAAGAATCTAGCCAACGGTTCTTAAGATATTCCAATTCGTACGGAAGGATGGGCGGAGCCTAATATTATATAATAATAATAATAATTTCAAAACTCTTTTTTCATGAAGGTGCAATAGATTGTTAAACGAAACTCCTGCTATTTTACCCGCGATTAAAACAACTTTTTCTAAACGACATTTGTTAACCAGAGATAAGGAACCATACCAACATTGGAACCAAAAAGATAAAATGCTTTCAACAAAACAAAAATAAAGGATGGATAATACATGTTCATTTACCTTAAATGATCACAACCTGCGCAGGAAATGTAATCTCTGTTGACATTTTTTGAAAACAGCATCTGTATTAGCATTCCTATTCAATGTAATATCTATAATTGTGCCAAGGTATTTAAAATCATTTACAATTTCCACATCGTCGCCCTGGGTTTATAATGCTTTGATTGTTCCTGAAATTAATAAGTATTTTGTTTTCGTAACATTCAACATTCGATAATTGTTCTCACACCAGGTCACAAAGTAAGAAAGTTCATTTTCTTGAATGAGTCCTACTAACGCAGCATCATCAGCAAACTTCAGTTAGATTGTTGGGGCTGTTACTAACCAATCATTTGTGTACAGTGTGTACAATACAGGCAAAAGGACACATCCTTAAGGGGCTCCAGAATGTGTATACAAGATATAGGAGTAGGCGGAATTAACCTTTACAAACAGAGGTCTAAGTTAGAAATTTCTCAATCCACAATAAAAGATTATAATTTACCTCCATATCCAAAAGTTTCTCTGACAAAATGTGATGCTGGATCGTATTAAATGAAGAAGAAAGTCCACAAATAAAATTCTCACATAGGATCCAGGAAGCTCTAAATGCTTGTATACTCTGTTTAAAATACATAGTTTTTGCATCTTCAACACCCCTTCTGGCTATAAAAGTTAAGGCGACTGGTCTAAAATCATTCATTTCAGTGGAATTAATGTTTAGAGGCACTGGCACAATCTTTGATGTTTTCCACATTTTTTAAATAACATGACTATCGATGGAGAGTTGATACAGTCGGCAAAAGACATTACACAATTGTTCACAGCAATGTTTCAGGACCTGAAACATCTGGTCCTGGCACTTTCCTTATGTTGAGTTTTGAGAATGGTAGTTTCACTGTTTCTGGTGTTAAAATGATTTTGTTCCCATCTTCACTGTTTATCACAGCTTCCCATTCACTGCTGAAGTCATGTGTGTCATCTTGGAGCGGTTGACTCATCTGCTGTTGCACTAGTCTTTCCAGTTCATCCCAAATGTGCTCGATCAGGTCAGAGTCCATTACACCAATACTGGTGTTATGTAAAAAGTTACACATCAGAACTGCATCATCTCCATGATGCAATATTAGTCTAGGACCATGTAGCTGCAAGAATGGCAGAAGAAATGTGCTCAAAACTTGGTCCTGATACGTTATAGAAGTCAAATTCCACTGGATGACAATCAATTGATACCTATTGGCAGTACAAAATGCTCCCTGAACCACGACCCTGGTCTCAACCTCAAGAACACAACACTGTATGTGATGTTCTCCCTTCTCGGGCCACACCCTTAGCCTGTCATCGGCAAAGTGCAGTTTGAAGCTTGATTTGTCACTGAAGACAGCCTTGTTCAACTACATCTGGTTCATTCTGGCATGTCTGTGGACCCATCATAAATGTTGCGCTTGATGAAATTCCATCTGGACAGATTTTGTGCATTTTCATCTAGCTAGGATACATATGATGCCCAGTTGATTCCTGGGGGTCTATGCTGACACTTTACCATCTTCTAATGGAGGTTGCAGCTCAAATATGTTGCAGGCATGACATCATCTAAATTGTATGTCACCTTGGTGTGACATAACATGCCACACCCAGTGCCCAGAGCAATCTGCAAGGGTTCCCATCTGTTGAACATGGGCTGTGTATTGTCGGATGACTTCAGACCAGGATTCATGCAACTGCTGCATGAGACTGTCCAGCATCAATCCCACCCATGGCACTCTCACTTTGCTGATTATTACTACATGGCAAACTTGCTTTTTGATTAAATTTGCATTTCTGTTCAGCAAGGTGATCATCTCACTCACTGGACATGATAGTTGTGTTTCATGCTTTTTCACTCTCTATGGCCAACTGTTTCACATAGGTCGCAAAGACTATGTTCAAACCACCTACATGTTATTGCTGTGTGACTGGCACAAGAAGAACATAAAATTAATTACCTTCCTCCCAATTATTACCAATAAAGTGGATGTCAAGTTTCTAATTTAGTGGAGTGTACATGGTGAGATGTTAAAATGTGACAACATTGATTAATTCAGCACTGCATTAGCCAATGCAAAGATGTGTCACTTAGGAGAATATGATGCATTTTGAAAACACTCATTAAATGTTGAAAGTAGTGACAGGTGAACACTAGTAACATGCAGCAGTGCTGTTATAGAAATTAGTCATAGTTTTCAAGTTCAGATTGTATGTTCATTTGCCAGAAAGAACAGAAAGTAGTGATAGTATCTATAACAGCTTACATGACATATGCGATGCCTACATTAAGAAGCAGCCATTAGGATGTTATTATTACAGTTTGAAAAGGATATATTTCTTGTTAATCTGAGGGAAAAAAATAAGCACTGCTGTTACAATATAGCCATTCTTCGGAGGGAGGGGGTGGTGCTAAAGACCTGCATTCTTAAAGCTGTTTCTCCCAAATCAAGGTGGTATGCAGGGATATAACTGTTCATGGATGCATTAAACCAAACTCACTAAACACAAGAAAAGAAAAAAGCATGAATATCATGAAACAGATAATTACATGACCACTTGACATACTTCAACAGGATTTGCTTACTGTTCAGATTTCTTTAAAAAATCTGAATTTTGTTCATAACACTTACCTTGCTGTTTCTCCACAGCTATAGGTTTTGTAGGCATGCTTGTTCCAGATATTCCAGAAGGAACATAAGCACCAACTTTTCCTGATGGAGATGTCTGTGGGGTTAGAAAATTAAGTAAAACATTCTGAAAAAACTTTGAATGTCAAGCACCCAGTCTGCTTATTTGTTTTACCACAAGGTTCTGTAAACAGGATGGGTAGTTTTTTAATGAACCTTCATTACAAAAGGGCAAAATTAAGCCATATGTTTTGAAGAAAAGTAGTGCTATGACACTAGCTCACAAGACATCTACTTTTCTATTTACCAATCTGACAAAGGTGTAGCTTCATTTTTTATCAAGATGCCTTAAATTAACACTATATGAGGTGAGCATCTCATCCACCAAGTCCACCTGTAATCTACCTGGCTGCCATATTGAAATTCCAAATTTCATGCTCAGAACTAACACCCTGATAGTGACACACATCTCCACTAAAATTTATCTGAAGCCATCAAGGCATTAGAAGAAAGAAGTATATGAAAACAGATGACTTCCTAAAGCTTCGCACATCATCCTTCAATTAAGGCGAACTGCAAATATGATGCAAGCCCAACTAATATTCTTACACGACCTCTGTGTATGCTTGATTCAGACTGGATAAAGAAAGGGTATGCTATTTTCAAATGTAACCTCTGTTAAAAGGTCTTTACACAAAAACCCAACATGCTTACGAATACATGAAAGGCATACAATATTGATCTTGTTTTTCCTCTATCAGATGCTGAGTTATAAAATATATTATGAAAATTATTTAAGACAAAATGTTTACAAACCATTTCCTGATTACTGTTCATTGACATCTCACCAACGTTAGGATTTGAAAGGCCACAAAAAATACTGCTTGTTTCCAAAGGCAAGGAAAACTCCCAAACAAATGTTCCCACATGACAGCTTAATTATGAACCCTTGCTGCAAGCTGGTCAGTCTCTGCTCTCCCGACTGTGATGGACACAGGGACTGGGCTACTGACCACCTTGGCAGAAGTCCAGTCCCTGTGTCCATCACAGTAGGAAGGGTGGATGCCCATCAGGCACTGTTATTTGAAAATATCCCCTGCAGTTCTTGTCTGATTGTAGTATCCCAGCAGTGTATGTCTTTTTTCCCTAATACGTGGATGGTATGATGACTGATCCAATTTGATCCTATTAAATTCTGTGTTTTTAACCTTGATATTTCATCATGTCATGTAAAAATATGATGTCTAATAGCTATGGGATTAAAAACCCACATTTGACTTATTTGACTCTGTAAACTAAACAACCCCCCTTTGCCATTGCTAGGAAAATCTGACAATTTACTTAGGTAAATAGGTATATACAGTTTTTAACTTTAGTACAAAGCAAATGCTTACATGTATTTCTTATGCCACAATGAAGTTGCATTTGTATCCTCAAAACAGTGTCGGCCCCTAATTTTTTTCAGGCAATTGTAAAATTGTACAGCGAGAGGAATAATGAGTTGAGTTAAAAAAACAAACACTGATCAAAGGATTAACCGATAGCACGCTGATTGATTAATTACTTTTATCTTGCACAGCGGATTTGTCAAAAGGTAGTGTTTATGTATGTAGATTTACTAACAAACATTGAATATACCCACATTCTGTCATAAAGTGCCTTTTTAAAAACAACATCCTTCAAACAAATGATTAACCGCCAATATGTTGATTGCCCATTGTTGGCTATATCATGGAATAATTATTCATACAAAATTCATTATTAATTAGTACCACTACAAGCAATATATTAGGATTAAGATATTAGGAAAATATATATTATATTAGTTTCATCATGTATCAGTAATAGCTTAGAGAAAGACACCAGTCATAAGTTGTATTTCACTTGGACCCAAGACCCTTATCATAATAGTTGTAGTTGTACTAATTAATAATGAATTTTGTATGAATAATTATTCCATGATAGCTATATCGAAAGGAAATTTTGTTTATATTATATGTTTTAATATTCATAATGATTAAGACACTAAATCTAGACCCACATTTATTCATGTATTTTTTCATATTTCAATATTTTCATAAAACAGGGGTAGGTATTTCTGTGGTTACAATATCACATTCTTAGTTCATGAATCAAGACAGTTAGAATGTAGAAAAATAGATGTTATCCTCCACGCTATCATTTCCTTCAAAGATTTGTGGGATTTATTTTTCATGAAAACTCTGCAAGGTGCGATTGAGGGAGGTATGTGTTGTGTGCAGTAACCAGTTCCACTTTGTATTTGCACAGCATGCTATGCGCACTAGCAGACAACTGTAGGCAGGAGTCGAGTTTAAGAAATTCGTACCTCCACCGTTGAAGAGTTTGATCTTAGTTAAGATCGCGATCTTAAATCCATGTCGTATTACAATCGCGCTAAGACTGGCTTTGTGAAAGTGGATTAGGGAAATTATATGGTGATTGTAAAGTTGATTGTAAAGGCCTAAGATTGATTGTAACTAAGACTGCTCTGTGCAACTGCCACCTAGGACAAATGCCACCTAGGACAAATGCCACCTAGGACAAATACCACCTAGGACAAAAGCAACCCAGTTATTTTACCATAGTTTTGCGTTTTTCGAGTGAATGTTATACTATCAGTCTTACTAGGAATAAAACTAACTTGCCACTTTTTAGCCCAATCTGAAATGAAAGCAAATGTCATTTTGTTCTGTAGTGTGTAAATTAGTCCTAGGTGGCTCTTGTCTGGGTGACACATGTCCTTGACCCATTCAGCATATATACAACAAATTAAGATAATTTAACAAGGATGTTCAGCAGTACAAGTATGATCTTATTCAGCATACTAAGCCATGTACGTATAAGGATATATGGGGAAAAAAAAACAACACATCTTGACTTCTGCTGCTGGAAACACCCCCTCTATGGCTCTGATGGATGCCAATTGAAAGTCTGTCTGCACTCTGACAGGTTGAAATATGGCAAGCCATTTTCACATTTATTGAAGATATCTTCAACTGTTTTAAAGATGTCTGTATTTTATTTAAATATATCAGTAATGCTTTAAAGATATCTGAATCTTATTTAAAGATATCAGTAATGCTTTAAAGATATCTGTTAATAATTGAAAATATCTTTAATTAATATCTCATATCCAAAATACAATTACTGATATCTCAAAATGTTATAGAGACATCAAGAACACATTTCATGATATCTCAAAATGTTATAGAGATATCAAGAACATATTTTGTGATATCTCTAAATGTGTTAAAGATATCAGTAAAACAATTATGATCATAGTGTACATAATTATATTAGAAATTAATTCAAGATATCTTGAATTCAGTTCTAGATTTCTTGAAATGATTGGTACATATCCACAACTGTATTACTGATATCTTCATTTCAATTAGAGATACAGTCAAACCCCGTTGTGTAGAACTCGTCAGGACCCAGGGAAAGTTCAACTTATCAGAGTGTTGACACATCCGTGAGCATAGAAATGACCAAGTACCAACTTGACCAAAGTGCTGGTGTCATAGTAGAGAGCTGACTCGCTGCTTCAGTACAGTGTTTAGTAGATAACTAGCATTCGCCATGCCATCACAGTACAATAACACCAGTGTGAATACTGAATTTTCACACAATAACCATACACATTCACTCATACTAATATTAGCTGTAAATGGGTTTTGACAGCAGAACAGAAAGCAAAGTAGATCTATCAAGTGAAGACAATCAATCAGATCACAATGGAAAGACACAAATTTGTAATTTGCAACGTGTACCATTCATTTTCGATTTCAAAACTTTATTCAGGCTGGATGCTATAATTTTGCTACTTACTTCCAACACAAATAATCTCTAAGGAAAATCATGAAATGATTGCAAGTTATCTTCAAATGTGTATTTATGTTTTAGGTGTGACTGTGGGGTGTGCACGTGTGTCCCTATGCCTACATAGAAAGTAATTCACAAATTGAGCATATGCTTATAGATTTTTATATACTACTGGAATACAGTAACTGTGAATTATTTGACGTTATGCCATTTTTTAAAGCAAAAAGATAATACATTGTAACATGATTTGTGGTGTTTTCCATAATCACTGTTTCACTGTTGACAGGATAATATCGAAATCTGTATGATTTGACACAGGCATCGTGACACACCCTTGAAGAGATGTGGTGTCAAAAGTCAGTTCACAAATTCTCAGTATCGTGTGTGTCCACCATTGGCATTGATGCAGGCTTGACAACGATGATGCATAGACGACACTAAGTGATTGAAGAAAACTTGGGAATGTTGTTCCATGTCAGAACGACCGCTTGCCCCAATTCAGCTAACATCAATGGCTGATTTTGATCTTGATGTAAATGTCGCTCCATTTCATCCCAAGCGTGCTCCTTAGGAGACAGGTCCAGAGAAACAGCCGGCCTGGACAGTACCGGAAGGTTCTCCTGTCTCAGGAAATCTGTCACAACACCATCCCAATCTTGTCTCATATGCTGTCGGCACCAGGCAAGACGTGCCTGTCAATGACATTGGAGCAAACTTGGACTTATTGCAGGCTGTCCGGGCCGGATGTTGTGCTCCCTCAGTCGGTCCATACAGTCCTGGAACTGATTGGACATAAGCAATGGTCCAAGCAATCAAACTGGCAGTCTGGAAACGATTCCTTAGATGGGTCAGCCGGATGTGGTAGTCTTGCTGATGTGATGTCACATGTGGACAACGGGTTTGAGGCAAATCTTCGTGTTCCTATTATGTTGAAAACGTCTCCATAGAGATAATACCATGTTTTGATGGCCATTCCAGTCTCCAGCATATTAGTGTGGATATGCTAATTTTGTGTAAGTCGTGGCATGACGTACATGCAGGTTAGGTTGAAAACAACATGTTTTCCACAACATTCAGAGAATAATCAACTGTTCTTCAATTTTCAATATCAGGTGTCAAAAAGCATGAAAAGAGGGAGTAAGTTCATTGTGCACAAAGTGCACGTGTGCCATGCACGATAAGTGACATCAAATTTCATGCAAAGTGCTTTGCTACATGTTTATGGGGCGCGGTGGGCGAGCTGGCTAAGGCGCC